TGTAGTTGTAACTTTCAAGTGCTCTCTGGGATTTATCAATTGGTCGAAATCGGCATTGAAATTTTTAGGTGCATCTGGGTAAATGTTTTGTATTTCATGGTGTTAAAATCCATATCCTTTTTAAATGAAGAATATTTTCTTTGTGATTAAAGTTAATAAGGAATTGTAATAAATTTTACTATGTTTTTTCAAATAAAATTGAAGAGAAAACATAAAACATTAGGTATGAATAACATAGGGGTCATTGTTGTGTTGTTCTTTTTAACAGAAAAAAATTTGTAATGAGTGTGATATGATATAATCATATAATTTGTGATTTGGAGACTGGATTTTTATCTATTATAACTGTATTGCTAATAACTTCAAATTTGATTAAATAATAACCTGAACCTAATAGTAGGATATTCACATCCATCCTCGTAAACATTTCTTATCTATCTTTTTTCAAGTATGCTGTCTGGTATATTACCTTAAAGTTTATATATTGAATATCTTGGGTGTCATAATCATTCTCAATTAGTTTTATTTCCAATTTATTCTTGTACTTCTAATTTTTTGCTACCCAGTTGTTTGATTTGATTTGCTACACTTAGTTATAGTGAAAAAAATTACCAAATAATTTACAAATCATATGAAGACTACAGGGAAAAAACCAGACATGTCAATTTTTTTCAAATTTCAGATTTCTATTCTATGGTATAGAACACGTGGAGAAGCACATTTGAGAGCTGTCGTACAGGGCAAAAAGTAGTCTTGTCATGAGTAATTACACTTCAAAGTTTCGGGGTACTGGGAAAAAACCAGCTTTGTCCATGCGTCCAGTGAAAGAACCAGATATGTCACAAGGTTTACGGTAGAAAGCGTTGGATTTATTTAAAAACAAACATTTGTGAATGTCGAATATAATTATTTTGCTGAATGATTAAATGTTCAACAAGACATTTGATATACCTAATATAATAGAAAGACTCGTTTTGTTTCTTGTAAAAATATAAACAGGCACCTATAACAAGTTTGCATTTCTTAAACAATTATTTCTTATCTCTAACACGCGGCAATATTCAATCAACGTATCGAATCTGGAAAGGTAAAAGGGTAGGAGGGGTAGTCGGCTACCGCTGACAAAGTGACAAATACACATCACTTCCTTCAGTCGTGTTATCCATACCATTTGAACCGTGTGTTTGTGCTTTTGACCGTTTGTAGTGACTAACATTAAAACGAACTATGTCGAGTTCTCACTCAGAAAATGAAGAAGTTACACCGCTTCTGCCAAAAAAAAAAGGAAGAAAACCGAGCGGATAAGTGAAGTGAGTAAAAAACTGAAGTTATCAACTCATGAGGCTGGGGAATCTTGTCACTGTTCACGATATAAGTGCTTCGATATAGTAAGTGAAGAACAAAGAACGAAAATCCTTCAGTCATTCAACGCACTTTCTTCTCATAACGAACAAAATTCGTATCTTGCTGGATTAATCACAGTACTTCCTGTAAAACAAAGGAGACCACGCACAGGTTTTGCTGTATTTATTATTACCTATCATTCACAATAGAAATACTAATCAAAATGAAACCTATTTTCATTATTGAAAGCATTGACCATTTTGTGTTTCAGATGACTAAGCTGGTTCTTTCAATGGACAAATTGAGGTTGACAAGAATTTCCTGGATTTTTAAAGAGTGTAATACATTTATCTGAATAAAAACAGTGCAATATCGTTCATGTGTTTTTATGGAGCAATTTTGACTCCCGAGTTTTATTATATGTTTCAATGTAAGACACATTATGGTCTTGAAAGTTAAATATGCGTTTTTCTCGGTTTTATGAAATTTTGACATATCTGGTTTTTTCCCTGTAGTCTTCATATATATTGTGTCATGGACTATTTTAAACTAATTTATTGCAATAGTCTGTGGCTTATAACTCAAAGAAAAGTTTGGTGAAAACACAAAAAAGAGAATCCCTAAAATTACTAAGCAATTTGAGATACTATAAGTAGCACCAAAAACCAAACATTATTACAATGGCAACCAACTCACATATACCAATATAATGCAATAAGAGTACTAATTAGTAACAAAATCATACCCTCTTAAAAGAGTTCTCATCTGTTTCAAATTCATCATCACTGCTTTCACTTGTTTCAACTTTAACATTATATGGCCCTAAATTTAATTGAGGAACAGCCTTTGCTGACAACTTCCGTTTAAAGTTTGGATTAGAAAATTCTTCTTTATAGTTTCTAATATAATCATCCAAATTAAAATGGTTTGAGCACACCATTAAGTTTTCCACATCATGATGTTTCTTTAAACCACACTTAACTTTCCAAAGTTGGCTGAGTTCTATATTAACAGGAAATCTATGAAATTTGTAAGGAACTTTTCCACTTTCATCAAATATGAAAAACCTATTGGGACATGATTTTACGGCACATTTAAAAGGAGATGTGCTGAAAACAGTATATTAGAGCAAATAATTTACCAGGATTTAAAAGAGACACTTACAATTTCGTTGTATCGCACTTTACTTTTTCAATATAATCCGGAACCTTATTAAGAATATCAAATATTTCACTTTCCATTATGAATAGTGTTATTATTACTAAAAATCTTTTCCAATTCTCCACTATGATTCAAATTAGGAAACAAATAATATCACAGTACACTTCCACCTAGCAGTGCCAGTCCAGTGTTAACTAGTAAAACGACGATTAGTGCATCGCTTAGTACCAGGGTGCGTAACTATATATAGATGGCGGTAAATTCAAAAGGCACGTAAAATTACCTAGGATTGTAAACTCATTTTAAAGTAAGGGAAAATAAATATAATCTTAAAATAACAAAAAAAACCCTTATTCTATACGATATGTTTATTTTCCATTACATTAAAATGCCAAAGTGGCAAAAAATTAAAGAATAAAATCTTTATTTATAAAAATGTTACCAGGAAATGTTATAATGTGTTACAAGAAATAATAATAATAATACAAGCAAAGTGCATTATAATTTAATGTTATGACAAGACTTCTCAGTATTTCAATAACTGTTTTGTTATTCTAATGCCAAGTTTTATGTGAATACAAGCCTGTCTTCTTATCTGGTAGCGGTAAAAACAAACTCGGAACGGCTGTTCTTTTAATGCCTCTATGTCCAACTTTGATTATATCCTCTTTAAAATGACTAGCGCATACATGAAAATTGTTATAAATAGTTTCTGTCTTGTCTAATTTAGGGCTGTTAACAGCATTCACCATTCCCCCATTTTTATAATTTCGTTGAATTGGAAAACGGCATTGCTTGCTAGTAGCAAAAAATATAGACGCTTCGCTTATAGCGTCTATATTCTTTGATAGTATTATCCATGAAATCTAGAACACGCCCTCTTTTTTTTTCAGTTTCCATTTCTATTCCGTTCAATAATATTCAATATTTCAATTGTGTTCGATTCCATGATTAAAAATCGTCGAAAATTGTACCTTATTGCACAATTTTAAAGTGACAACGAACAAGGAGAACGACTAGGAACTTTGAGGTAAAATCAAAAATGATTTCTTGCATCGAGTTAGAATCTAGGGAATCTAGATTCTACTCCATGGTTTCTTGTCTCCATACGCAGGAACGAGATTAGCAGTGCCACCAAACGAAAGGGTGCACAAATAAAGACGTGCGTTGACCTTGGCGGTCCTTGTTACCAATCTACTGTGAATAAAATTTTGACAGGTAAACAAAACTCTTCTTTCTATGTCATCCAATCCATACAGTTGATAAGCATCCCTTTAATTATTATAAAATTATGTTAAGATTAGAATATTGTATATAGGAAATATACCGCTGGGTAAGAATGAGAACTTCGGAGAATTTATATAATTAACAAAGTTTAAATATTTGAAGACTGAATTATATAACTAAGTTGCGACAAATGTAGGCAACATACAGTTCATCCTTGCTGTATTGTGGGAGTGTCAATATATGCTAATCGAAATGAAATATAATATCAAATAGAAACTGTAAAAACAAATTTTATTTATTATTATTTATATTTTTTTATTTATTTGATAAACATCGCATATTATAGTGATTATTATTATTGGTGCATCACCGCTCATTTGCGGTTGTAAATCGTAACATCCTACTTTAAATATAATATCCCGCATTTATTCACATTTAAAATTTCCCTTTACATAAAAATGTACAAAATTACTATACACAGTTCCAAATGACACCAAAAACCTGTGTTTTATTTTAATCCTATTGGGAATATGCAAATATTAATAACAATCAATATGCAAAACAAAGAAATAGTTAATTGTTTTTTCATTTTTAGTTATATTTGATCTACCCATATCTACATTTTAGTCTTTTTTTCCACTACAAGTACTACTTTTATACCATTTAAGTATATTAAGGCTTCTATCTTTACCGGTTATAACTATTGGTTCTCATCAATTAAATCATTACTATTATGAATTGAAAAATGGCTAAGACTATCTCCTTGTTTAATACCTCTTTTCCAATGAATTTCTTTTCGATCATTGCCGTATTATTTGTACTGTTAAAAGGAGGTAGAATGTATAAAGAGTATCAAAAATGTAGCTGTAGCAAAAATAGAGGTTGGACACAATCGCGTGGGAAAAACCGCATGCTTTGATCTTTGCCCCAAAGGTGTGAGAGGTATTCAGGTGACACGCGACTTTGGTGGTAAAAATATGCAGTGTATAGTTAAAAAATCATAACTTCGGTATAACTGTATTTCATTTTGAGTCTCATCAATATAATAATAAGTACTCGATAATAGTAATATGGGGGGTAAAGGGGTGGAATGCGTAAACATGGAGTTGCTTCCAGTTTACCCCACTTAGCCTCTTCTATTCAAATCCGACTCTCACCTTCACGCTGGTGCCCCCTGTTAAACTGAGCAACCCAACTGGAAACCGGTATCCAACAACTTACAAACCAGAATCCTATGAAAGGTTAATAGAAATAAATAAAACAATATATGTGGCTTTCTATTTTATTACAAAATCAACATTTTCAATTTCACACGTGCAACACTTAACTTACATTTCAAAATCATCACGCTGTAAAAAAAAAAAGAAATACATTTAGGTACTTTTTTAATTAAACCAAACAGTATACTTACTAGTCCGTTATATTCCAATACATGTCGTTTGATCTTAGAACTATCTACCCATGTAACAAAATCTTCAAGTGTCCTAGTAACTAGAAATGCAGGATCTTTGATTAATTCTGGTCCTACCCTTACATGACCTTGTTCTATTAATTTCGTTGCTCCCTTTATATTTTCTGACATTTTATCTAAAACAGGTAAAGCGTGAACAAATTTGAATTGAATATAAGGCAATTAACTGTATTAATGTGGCATAGTTCACAAATCAATGAAAAATAGAGTAACCAATGATACAAGAAAAATATCTAAAAGAAGGTCTCAAAGAAGAAATGAGTATGGAGACTTCAATAATTATATAATAATTTTTGTGTACTATTAAGATATTCTAACAAATTTTGTAGACTTTGTACTTCCATATCGATATAAAATAGTAGACATATATGTAGGTGATATCCTATAATAATAATATATGAAGGACACAGAGGAAAAACCCTGTTAGTCAATTTTTTCAAGAAATGGGCTGATGACGCAATCCAGTAGCTTCAAATGAATCGTTTTTAAACATTTATTAGCTTTTGTACAGAACACCGTCGATTTACTAAAATCTACGTTAGAAAATATGCAGCACTGGGGAAAAACCCCATCAGTTGTATCGTGATACAATGAGTAAGAAATGAAAAACAACAGGTCGAGTGAGGGATGTTATGAGAGATATGCGAGCAGCGTCTCACAAGCTTGGGCCGAATTATTTGTGCAAAAGACTTAAATGCTTTCAGAATATACCAGAAGAGGGACAAAAACTAATCATTCGAGAGTATAATCTGCTGGGAGATAGATAAAAGCAGAACTCTTATTTGAGTGGCCTCATTAGTGTTGCCTATAGTTACAAGACAATTTCGAAATGCAGATCCTAGATATAACGCAGCTTCATTTTAATATAAGAGTTCGTTTGTTAAAAGACAATGTTCTATGTGATATTCAGGTCTGCCTAAAAGCGTTCATGTTGCTTCATGGTATTAGTGAGGATAAGGTTAGGAACATAAGGGGTGCTCTGCTTAGTGCTGGTAAATCTTCCACTGACTATCGTGGAAAACATTCAACAAGACTCTACAAACTTTCACAAGAAACAAAACAAAACATATTTACTTATTTGAAATCTCTTAAAGGGAGAAAATCACACTAATATTTAAAAGAAACCAACAAAATTTACCTTCCTGCTGAGTTAAATATCTCAAAGCTACAAATCATGCACTTAACTAACTATCCAGAACATAAAATTTTGTACGAATCATTTCATAGGATTTTTGAGAATGACTTCAACCTTTCCTTTGGCTATCCATGTAAGGGCTCTCGTAGTATATGTGATTCCTTTAAATCACAAATTTAGCGCTTGAAGAGAAGCTTAAAACTGCCACTGAGAAAGGAGAAACAAGTCAGAATCTGCAAACAAAACAGACAGAAAGATAGGTGCATCTTAAGAGAGGTGAGCGCTTTTATACAATAAAAAAAAAAATACCGAAAATGTTCCATGAAATCAGTCACGATGGAATCTGTGACCATGGACTTTCAAAAAAACCTGCCATGTCCTAACATTACGACTAATGATGTCTACTATCGGCGCCAACTGAATTTTGTTAGTTTCAATATTCATGTACTTTCAACACAGCAAGCAATTTTTTATACATATGATGAGTCTGGCAAAAAAATGCACACATGATGTATGCTCAATGTTTCGGCATTTTGTTTTTAAAATTTTGCCCCTTGAAGTGCAAGAATTCTATATATTTTGCGATTCGTGTGTGGGTCAAAATAAAAATTATACATTTATCCAGTTTTTACATCACCTAGTAACAAAAGATAAACATTTAAAACAGTTAAGATGATATTTCTGATAAGAGGGCACTCTTACATGGAATGCGATCAGAATATGAGCATTGTTAAACAAAAATCCTATACAGATGTTCCAGAAGACTGGAGGTACTAAGGAATACTCTGGTAAAACCCTCTACATTTACAGTAATTGATTGCGAAGTAGATGTAGTTTTTCAAAATTGGACTGCCTACCTATCATCACTTTATCCTCGAAAATGTCCATTTCCCACAAAATTGATTCATATGTTAAAAATTTCGGCAACTGAAGGATGACTTGTGTTCTATAAACCAACTTTGGATGTTATGCATCCTCATTACTTGAAAAAAAAAACCTTGCAAAAAATCAAGGTACAACCACTGCAGTAATTACCCCGTTACAAAATTTGTACAATGGAAAACTTTTAATACCAGCTGCAAAATATCGCGACCTTCTTCATTTATCCCAGTATTTGGAAAACCCGGAAGCAAAGCTATTTTATAAAAATTTAACTGCTGACGCTGTTCAACAAGAAGAAAATGATGACGAATACGCTGCTGACCCCATAATTGATGATGGGTAGAATTCACTTCAGACCGTTTTTGAATATTTTGTAGGTTTTACTCTGATTTTTTACTGCAAAAATATTAACAAAATTGTCAATAAATTAATTATAACATTTTCTATATGTTTATTGTTTATTTTTTTTTAGCCTCCAGAGTTGAAAAAACAATCAAATCATTGTTTTCTCAAAAATTAATTTTTTAACTGACAGGGTTTTTCCCTGTGCCCTTCATATTAATATGAAAAAGATACTTACTTCTTACCATTACTACTGCCAATCTGCGTCTACAAAAGCAAGAAGCTGTTACTTTTTCTGCCAAACTTAAGTCCCACCTAGTAGGAATGAGTCCCATAAGATACCTACAAAAACTATGTAAATACAAAGAAAATATTTAAATTATGTACTTACAATTTTTCTAACAATTGTGCACTACTTTCTGTCCTATAGGGATGTTTGGGGTCTATTTCTTTTATTTTTCTGGCCACTTCTCGAATATTTCTTGATAATTTATTGTATCTAAAAAAAGGGTTTACTTATATTTAGTTCCGGTTTTATTTCCACAACACTTACTTTGTATAATCTTCTCGTTTTTGAATGTGATATCTTTTTAGAACCTTTACTTCATGTAGATTGTTGTCAACTTCCCAGGAAATAAAATCTACTTTCTTCAATAATTTCTGTTCGTGATATTTAAGTTTTCGCACCATGTTTCTCTTGCAATTAAAAAATATTAAAAATGTGTTTTGCTCTAAATTAACTCAAACAAGTTGACAATTTATCTTAACGTGACATAACCTCTTATATTCTCTTCTTCCGTCAGTCCTTCAGTCGTTCGGTCTATCGACTCTTTCTGTTTAGGGTGTGTAATGACTGTAATGGGTGTGTATAACATTTTACTCAGTACTGCATACGTGTTCAAAGGTACGTAAAAGTTACATACAATTATTAGTAATTTTTTATTGGTATTATTCTACGTAAAATGGCTTTTTAAATCTATTTAATACTGTCTAAAGTATCTGTTTTACTACGTCCATCTGTTCTGCAAGCTTTATTCACCTAAAGATACTTTATCACTGGCTTCATTCATCCTGATCCCAGTTTCTTTGAGACCCTCTTTTCCTAAATTTTTTAACATCCACTGTCTAATTTTCCACTTAATGTTTATCTATTATTATCACGTGCCTATAATAGAGTAGTCTATATCTTTATTTTTCGATTTCTCTTGCCATTTGTGCCACCTAACCGATTCATTGACAAAAGCAATAAACCTATTAATAACCCAATTGAAATCAAACAAGTATGGACAAAATATATTGAAGACCTTTTCATGGACACAAGAACGGAACCAACACAAATTGCGGAAATTCATAAAGTGCGAAAGCGGATATGAGTAATAGACAGTTTGGCTTCGTAACGGCTTCGGAACAGTGGAAGCTCTGTATAGTTTCACAACTCCCAAATTGTCGAGACCAACAAAAAGATATTTTCGTTGCGTTTATAGACTATGAAAGAGCTTTCAACAAAGTTAAACATAACATTCTCATGGAATGTCTAAAGAGAAAAGCACTCGACAAAAATGACATTAACATAACATAACACCTGCGTCGCCTTTCCGCCCCCCTCGGTGAGGGGGGGGAGTGAGTTACGGTTAGGTGACGTATCCGCAACACAGGTACTACGGGTAAAGTGGAGCCCCACGATGCTTCGGCATCGTGCCATCTTAGTGTTGGTGTCGGGCTAGTAGGGGCAGTGGATTCGCTAATGGTCGTATGCCGAGAGGCCAGGAATACCAGGGTCCTGCCAAATTTTATTTGGAGGGCACAAAAGTTTAGCAGGTCTCTTTCCCTGTATTCTAGTATTCAGTGCTCTTTTTGGTAGCCTATCCTCCCCCATTCTTATCACATGTCCAGCCCATTGCAATATTTCTATTCTAATGAAGTCTGACAGTGGTGCTTCCTTATAAAGTTGATAAAGCTCGTTGTTGTATTGACTTCTGAAGATTCCGTTTTCTCTCACAGGTTCTAGTATTCTCTTTAGTACTTTCCTTTCGAATGTGTCCAGTTGGCTTTTTAATGTTTATTTCAGGACCCATGCTTCACTGCCACAGCATGCTATTGGTCGAATTAAGGTTTTATAGATTTTGATCTTTGTATTTCGGTGGACATTTTTAGACCGAAATATATGGGAGAGGGCAAAATAAGCTCTGTTTGCCTGCGTTGTTCTCTTCCGTATTTTTCCATCTTCTGATCCGTCGACATATATTTCTACTCCCAGGAATGTAAACTTTCCAACCGATTCAATGTCATCTTCATGTATGATGTTTAATGGGACTATATTTTTTCTCGTCTGTATCATTATTTTTGTTTTTTTCTGTCTTAATTTCCAGACCTAGCATTTTTGTTTGCGTTTTTAACTCATCGGCATAAGTGGCCAGTTGAACCGTTCGGTAGATCTGTAGGTTTCCTTGTCCAGTTTGCATTTGCCTAACCGCATACTCCAGTACCAGGTTAAGCAAAGTTGGGGCCAGCCCATCTCCCTGCTTTAGTCACTGCGAAATTTTGAAAAAGTCTGCCCGGTGGTTTTGTATTCGTACTATTGCTTTAGTTTCATCCATTATGGCTTTAATGAGTCTGAGTCTAATTAGCTTGTGTGGTATTGCCAATTCAGCCAATATATTGTAGAGTTTGTTACTTTTGACTGAGTCTGCCTGTTTGAAGTCTACAAACACGTTGTGAACATCAATGTCATGTTGCCATGATTTACTCAAGATCTGTTTGACTGTAAATATCTGATCCAGTACCGATCTTACCCGTCGGAAGCCCGTTTGATTCTCTCCAATAATATTTTTTGCTAGTGTTGGAACGGCTGGTTTATAACATACGTAAGGACTTTATATGCTGTACATAGTAGAGAAATTGCACGGTAGTTTTTGCATTGGAGTTTGTCTCCTTTTTTATAGGTCGGGCATACATTTTTCTTCCAGTCGTCGGGTATTTTCTCTTCTTGACATATGTCTTTGATGATAAGGTGGATGTGACTTGCTAGGTAATCGCCACCTACCTTAAACAATTCTGCTGGTATTTCGTCAACTACCGGGGTTTTATGGTTTTTCTGGGCCTTAATAGCTTCGAGAACTTCCTCTTTTGTTGGAGCTTCTACTACATTCTCTACTTCATTCTCTTCTACGTAGTTCGTACCCATTCCATCTTCCACGTCTATTTGTGTACCAAGTAGGGTCTGAAAATAATGCTTCCAGGTTTCTGTGACTTTCTGTTGGTCACTGATTATTTGCCCACTCTCATCTTTACATATAGACTTGTTTGAGGTTTATATCCACTTTTTATTTTTTTCGTAAGCCCCTCTAATTTCTTTGTTTTTGTGTAACATTCCTTGGTGCTTAATTTATGCTGATTATCTGATGTTAGTACGAAATTCTGAAAAAAAAAGGAAAAACCGCTGTAATAGTGCATGAAAACGTTTTAAGTTCTACTATATGTTAAGTCATATTTTAGAATGTGTGTATATGTGCGCTTTTTTAAAATTTTTTAAGTTTCTCCAGTGATTTAATAAAAAATGCGTTAATAACTTTTTTCACGTCTAGTTCGCCCAGTATTCACTGCGCTAATTTTTCTGTGTTGGTATTATTGATTTTTTTCTACCTATTCGTTAATGTTGGTACCCATGCGTAACAAATCTAATCCCTCCCACTAGCCGAAAAGAGGTTATTACCTTTTTTCTCAGCTAGCAAAACAGTTATTTGCTAAATATTTTAACGTTTTTTTAAATTAGTTTTGCTACCGCTGTACTAGTGCGGTGTATTAACTTTTGTACCGAATGAAAGTGTAGTGTTATTCTGTGATATTTTTGACTGATATAAGTTTTAGTTGACAGCTGTGGATATGACTAATAGGCGGTGTACCTATATAAAATTTATGTAGAAAATACCATAAATTATATAGTGCAATCAGATAGCAACATTTTAGTAACTGAGTCATTTAGAGGTAAAAGTTAGATAATTATATAAAGAGTAATTGTCATAGCAGTTTCTAAGAAATGTGTTATTGGTGCTCCAGTTATACCTTTTTAATTATGGCATTTGAAACATGTTTTAAAGTTTAGGAAAGAATACAAAAATTGTCAAATAAATTTGAATATAAAAGACAGTTTTAGTAAAAGAACTTTTACTTCATTTGTTACTTCTGTTACTAATTTGTTTTGCCAATCTTAGTGCAAAATGTTGATGTGAAGAAGCATAATAAAACACTGCAAATATGTCAAAAAATAACCTCAACGAGAATGGGTCTAGAAGTGTCTCCTCGAACAGTTTTAACAGTTTTTTATCTGATGGAGAGATCATAGAAAGTGGTTTAGAAGATATTCACATCTCAAGTAAAAATAACAGACCATCTTCTACATCCAAAGCTCATAAAGCCAAAAGAATTAGGTTCTACCACAATGGCAACAAATTCTTCAGTGGAGTTGTTATCCCTGTGGCCCCTGAAAGATATAGATCTTTTGATAGTTTAACAACTGAGCTAACAACCATTCTAACAAAAAGTGTCACTCTACCTAATGGGGTTAGAAATGTGTATTCCATGGAAGGAAAGAAGGTAAGTCACATTTTTTAGTACTTTTACAGGTACATAGCATATAGAGAACCAACAATGTTTTGTCAACATTAAAGTGAGTAGGTCAGTTATATACTGGTCAAAGAACTCATTAGAGAAATTATTATAATAAATAAAATGATTAACTTGATTTAGATATTTAAAATATATTATTTTGATTACCTCTTTATGATCAAAACTGATATTTTAAAAAGAATTTTGACTGATATGTTTAATAAAATTATCAATGGAAATAATTTTATGGAATTTGAGTTGTTTGTTATGTTTAATAAATGTGGTTACCTCATTTTGGTTTGCTATTATCAAATAGCTTTTTAGTTTATCTACTACTGGTTTAGTCAATTAGTTCTCTATAGTTAACCCTCACATTTCTCTTAAATTATTAGTTTTGATCTATATTTTGTTTCTTTGAAATCTTTCTGTAAGTTACAGCTCCAGCAGACTTTATTTTAAATTTCTTCTTTCCATCTTCTATTTTAATTAATTAATTATTTTTTTATTTAACCTCCTTTAAAACACAAAATGATTGTTATTGCTTTAAAAGAGTGCTTACTACTATTAAAAACTAATAACTATATTAAAAATTAAACCTAGACAGAATAAAACAAGTAAAAAACACTATACATTTGAATTAAATTTTAAGATTAACTAACTTGAGAACAGTTGGTTGTTATTAATTCATAGATGTATTTTAGTAACATTAAATTTAATATTATTTATTAAAAAGCAATCTTTGGCTGAATGAAAATTTCTTCTATTACCCAGTTGCTGAACTTTAAAACAAGTTAACATAGAAAATCATGTACTGTTAGATACCAAACTTTGTGACATAAAGAAACCTCAGGAATCGTTTTTGAACCTTTTCAATCAGATCAACATTGAATTTGGCTTGTGGTGCCCATATACTAGAGGCATACTAGAAGTGAGGTCTTACCAGTGCATTGTATAATGATGTTAGAGTTTCAAATGTTTTAATAAATTTTGAATTATGAATTATGAAGCCAGGGTTTCTGTATGCCTTTTCAATGAAAATCCGATAATGTTCATTAAATCTCAAATTTTGCTGACAATTGCATTACTCCAAGATCTTTGCAAGTGTTCTTTCTTCCAATTACAATGCTAGAAATTTTGTATTGGTTCTCCATGTATTGTGTTTTTTGAGTGATAGTAAAAACATGACATTTAGAAGCGTGTAGAAACATTTTGTTATTATCCAACCATTGACTTACTGAGTTCAGATCACATTGCAGCATCTCAGGGTCCTGCAGAGTTGAAATTTCTCGAAAAGTCTTAAAATCATCTGCAAATAGCAGGCAAATAGCATTATACAATATAGCAATTAATTGGTGATATTTATTCTATTTAGTCCTTGCTATATTAATTTTTTTAAATTCTCTGACCACTGACCACTTCTCCAGTGCTACCAACTTTTTATTATACAGAGACCAATAATTATGAAATGCCAAATTGCACTTATTAAATAGTAGCCCAGTCAGGATATCTTTAGGATTGTAATAATTCAGAGCTTAGATTTTTGCAGACATATTTTTGAGGTGTTTATAACTATATTTTAAACATGATATAACTGAAAAGCTTGTAGACAATTATTAGAACAATATTTAAGGAATTAGTTGATTTTACAGCAGAAGTTGAATGATACCTTTAAAATTCAGAATACCTTTACAAAATGTGACCATTTTCTAGCTATTTACAAAAGCTTTAAAAATGATCTTTTAGATACTACACATATGTCATATGTCATTGTCTGTAGTCATTGACTTTCAGCACCTTGGTTAGTTGATTTTGTATGAATGCAGGCCCAAGTCATGACGAAAAATTCGTCCAGTTGTGGTCTGTGAAAAACAGAGTTCTTGTGAGCTACATGAAATCAATTTCCTTGTCTTCCCATGCATACTCTCATGGCAGTGGCAATGTTTTCATTAGATCTTGCATTTTATCATACAGGAGCTACTTGATTGTTTACTAAACCAGTGGACTCAAATTTATCTACCACAAATAGTTCTCTTGGTAGGACAATTTTGGCCACCATAAAATGCTTGTGGAATGTTGCCCAAACAGTTTACCAATTTTGATAAATTCTCTAGCCGCTCCACTAAACTTGATTTATTAACATTTACTGATTTCCTTATAGAATCTCTTAAAGATGGCTAACAGGTTCACACTGTATGCACACACTTTACAAAGGCATTTGACTGGGTAAATCACAAGATTTTAATCAATCAAGTTAAGGAGTTTGGGTATCCAGGGTGAACTTTTAGAATGGTTGTTATCCTACCTAACTGAAAGAATGCAAATAGTGTGTGTTCAGGTTTTTCAATAGTTTGAGATTAAGGTACTTTCAGGAGTACCACAAGGATCACACCTAGGAACCCTTCTATTCAATAACTTTGTTAATGACATTGCCTCCTGTTTCTTCTTTGCTTCTTTCCTAATGCTTGCTGAAGATTTAAAATTATATTTGAAAATTGAGAATAAGGGTGACTATCAAAAACTACAGTCTGATTCGGATCATTTGAGCTATTGGTGTGACAGCAATTGAATGGAACTTAATGTTAAAAAGTGTCATTTAATGATTTTTGGTCATAATAAAACTCCTACAAATCATATCTATACTATTAATGGTTGCCCTTTAAACAATGTATCTCAGATAAAAGACCTAGGTGTTGTGCTCGATTCCAGCTTATTTTATATCCCCCATATCTCATCTGTTGTCTCAAAATCACTTTAACTTTTAGGGTTTATCAAACATTGTGCTAAAAACTTTCTAAATATCCCATCCACAAAAATTTTGTATTGTTCACTTGTGACATTCCACCTAGATTACTGTTCATGTGTTTGGTCTCCTCACTATAACACCCATATTCAAGCTATTGCGAGAGGTCAACACAAATTCTTAAGATTTGTTGCATTCAAACAAAACCAGAGGATTTAAGAAATAACTATTCAAATATGGAAAGGTCCCTCAACATAACTTTTCTCCAAATCCTACACATACAGAAAGATCTCACTGTTTTATAGTATACTGATTCTATTATTTTTGGTCCCCAACTATTGGAAAAAAAAACTAATCTCTATGTTCCCAGTAGACAAACAAGGCTAAATCAACCTTTTATGTTAGATCCCATGGCACAAACTATGAACACAACTCCTTCACATCTAGAACACCAAGGTTTGCTAATCAATATTCCCAAAGGTTGGATTATTATAGTATTCCAAAAGAATTTAAAGCTCAGCTTAAGAACTGTGTGTGTTAGCTTGATGTCCTTGTGTTTTGTACATTCTTTGTTAATGTTGTTATTTACTGTTCCTACTTTTATTTTTTGTATGATAAATAAATAATAAAAAACAATTTTATAATTTGTATGTGATTTGGCAAAATAGACTAAATAAAGGACAACCAGTTTGATAGATGTAGCTTCAATAATATGGCTATTACTATTAAAGTTTTGAAATCACTATTGGAACATCTCTTATTAATTGGTTTCAATCATTTTAAAGTATATGTTGGTCTTCCATATAAAATGATTACAGATGTGTTTGCCCTGAAATCTTTTTGACTTCATTCAGTATATTTCTTTGTTTTTCACAGATATATCTTTTCAATTACTGAATTTTTCACTTTTTGATTAAATTGTCATAATCCTTTCATGCTTCTTATATTCTCTTTCTTGCATTCATCATTTATATCTGCTTTTGAAGATTATTATACCAGACACTTATTAAAATGCCTGTCAGTTAATAAAAAACCACAAAGAATATTTTTTATTGCATTTTTTGGCATAGCATGGCATATAACTTTACTCTTAATCATAGACATGTCCTCTCACAGCAGACATCACATGTTTTACCGTTGTACTGGTATGTCCCCATGTAGAGAACATTGCATTTCTACTATTACTCTCATATGTTTCTGCATCAGCACCAAATATGTTCTATTCTATCTTCTTTAGATATGTATCTGTTATCAAGTGGATAAATTAGGAGTGGGGGTCTGTTTAGTTTGGTTTATATATCCCATCCTAGGTTAAAGGCATATTCAGGGGGTATATTTTTAAATTTCTGATTTAAGGTTGGTGAACCTTCCAGTTAACACATGCATTGGAACACATTTCCATAAAAACATCATCTTGGTCAACCATTAAAAAAAAACTGAGTTTGCTAACTTTTTAGCATGATTACCATTTCAAAGGGTTTTGTACTAATCACTGTAAATAATGCAAATAGCATTTGAATGACAGCAAGTTCTAGATATTGGTGTCAAATTTGATTTATCTACACTTATTTTGTCTGTCTTAGTGTTTCAAAACCTATAAATCAGCATAGCATTAATTACCAAGGAATTTACAATCAATTAAGATAAATTTTATGTGCAATTAAAACGGAATCATAAAATGTGTATCTTTAAAAATGCAATTTGCTAATTAAATTGCTTAATGAGAGAGCCAAACCACCAAAAATATTATGCAAAAATTTATGTTTCAAATCTACAAGGTTACTGCTAAGTGAACACCTACGTAAAATAAATAAAAAGAAGATTTGCGATTAGGAATTTTATGAGTTAATTTTGCAAGGTACTCAGTAGTTTATGAAGCATGTAAACAAATAAAGAGAATCTAATCTCAAAGTGGATTGATGTTGAAAGCACTGCATCTTGGTGTATATACAACCAAAACTTGTTTTTTATCAGATAAAACTAGTTTACTTAGTTCTAGTAGTTTATATTTATGTGTAAAGTTGTATAAACATAATATCAATCACTTAATAGAATTCTAAAAAAGATGAAAACATAAATACCTACAAAATAATTCAATTGTGGCTTAATACCATAATATAAACACAATTTTAAAATTTTTTTTTCTTTAAATCCAATAGTGGTTCATAATATTTGAGTCTGGGGAGCACTAATACTAATCCAAAATTGTTTTTGTTACAAATTTGGTTTGCTTTTTTATGCATTTTGG